ATATCACTGTAAGATGCAAATTCCACAACCCTGTACACCATCAAGAGAAAAACAAGATGTTTCAGAGAAACTGAAAAAAGCAGAAAGAACAAGTTTGGGCTTTTTTCAATCTGTTGATTCACAGCTTGATGTTTTATCTTCTGAAAGGTAATTTTTAATGTGGTTAACAAGAAAATATGATACAGTCTTAGCCATCCATACCTTTCACATCTCCTTAAACATTACCAGAACCCTCATCTGCAATGAGATGGGAGAAAATCCAGAAAGCTGCACATACCTGCACACCAGCTGAGGAAATAGCTTTCAATCCTCCATTAAACTGCATTCTAAAGCTGTCCAAGAATCAAAATATACTTGCAGGCTCTCCTGCCCTCTTCAGGTTTTTAACAGTGAATAGAAAAATCCATTTGTCTTTTTGTTTTCTCAAAAAAAAACCCAAAACCCAAACAAAAACTATGTAGCATTTGCTTGCAGTAGCTCTAGAGCACTGTTCTTCTAGCACAGACACTAGTTGTAATTCCCTCCTCCTTGCTGCCTTGTCATGCAGGACCTTTAGTCTGCAGAACTAAGAACGGAGAGCAGGGAGCTAGGTATCCCCTATAGAGACTGGTTACACTAATTTCCCATGACTTTGCTGAAACAGTGCAAAGTGGCCACAGACAGGAGGTACTTTAGCCTCAGGAGTTAGATCATAAATGATTATACATAAATAACCCTAAGTTAAAGACAGCAGAACTCAGCTGCTGAAACTGTATTCTTCTCCTTTCCCGTTTTGCTTTGACACAGTGTTCACAGTAGAGACTGAGTTGCATACCACTTCTGAACTCCTGTTTACTGACTGTGCTTTATTTCTGAATTGGAGAAATTTCAGCATCTAAGCCACACCACAGATTTAAGTTTTGTTTGTTTTATATTACAAGGATAATCTTGCCTTTAACAGTTTTGGTTATCATACACATTTAGACACAAAATGAACTTACCCTTCATTCCTGTTGTTTCTGTGAGCATCCACATAGGTCACCTCCCCTGCCTTTCTCATGACATCTTTCAAGTCCTGCAGCAAAAGTTAACTTTTTAGCCATAAACAGGACACAAATGAGTCAGCTAGCAGCAAGTAATACCTCCCTAAAACTTTCCCTTCTAAAACAGGTTAATGCTTATATTATATATATAAATACACACATAATTTAGAAGTTTTTGAAGCAGCATTTTGTAGTAAAATGCAATAAAATAATACAAAATTAGACATTTTGTAATAGCAGCTGCATAAAAGGACCCCTTATTTTTACAACTACAGTGACTAAAACATTGCTTTTAAAATTGTCCTATATCCCAAAACCAGCTGTTCTGAAAACATAATGCAAAACTTAAAATACCAACATATGCATTGAAAACGGAACTATTACAGATGGAAAAATGAGTATTAAATGCAGATTTTCGTGACTAACGCCCCAGTTAAAGGACAATCCAGCATATGTAGACAAGTTCATTCTATACGGTCACCTCCCCCAACGTCACAGCAGAATTCAAAGCAAAAAGTTGTAGTTACTTACTATATAATTAATAATTTTCCAAAGGAGATTTTTCTTATATTTCACTTGAATATCGGTCACACTACAGTGCTATGTCAATAGACACCCTTGTATTTAAATTAATAGAGGCTAAACACACAGACACTGTAAAATTACTTGCTCAGCAACAGGATAAAGTACAAACAAATAATGTAAAAGGTCACTAAAAAGCTAAACATTTGTATAAATTAAAGCAGTACTTTTACCAAACAATATCTGGTATTTTATAATCCCAGACTACTCACCGCAACACACCACAAGTGGCAGATGATATAAGAAGGTACCTTAAGCAAAGAGCTGCTTGTCCAATACCTAGCTGGCCAAGAGGAACTCTCTTACATGAGAAAGGCAGAGTGATGGCTCATAGCAATACGCTTCACGGAGGTACCAGAGGCCCTGAAAGCACTGGACATAGTCTCCAGAAGTGGCTAAAGAACCCGAGGATGATCTGTGCTAGCCAATCGAGATCAAACCCAGGCAAACCAAGATCTAGATCGCCAAAAAACAGGAGTGTCATAGGAACCAAAAGGAAAATTCAGAACAGGCCAAACCCTAGAATTTCAGCCACTAGAAAACCCCCAAATCTTTGGTTCTTTTTCCTCCACACCAGAAAACCGAGGGTTAACCATTTCAAGGTTGTTAGAAGAGGTTCAAAATGCACTTGGTTAGAAATCTGCTTAAGGAAGAAAAGACTACAAAACAAAAAGCCAAGAAAAACTTTAGAACATTTGCTACAGAATATAAGAAGACTTAGTTTTATCTACTCTTTCAAATGAAAATTTGATAGATTTTAAAAACTGACATACACGAACTAGTAGATACTTTGTTTCACATGTGCTTAACAAAAAGAAACCTTAACAGTAAATGGAAAATAGGCCCTACAGCACCATTAAAAGTATTACTTCAACCTTGCTGTATTTGTTTAGAGACGAAGAACAAAATATTGGCTCTGCTCAAGTCAATAAGAGCTTTACTGGACCAGGACTGGTAAGTCAAAAGGAAGTTAGAAAATGTTAATCTACATAATTCTTTTCTAATTCAATAAACAGGCTTTAAAACTGACTTGTCAGACTATACACTGAATCCTAAGGATCATCGTCATGAAATAGCACTTGTACTAATAATGTCAACATGATTAAGACATCAACATTACTGCTCAAAAAAGAGTAAGTCTGCATGTGCTAGAAAAGCTCATACTATTTGTTATTATTAGAGGAATGTTTGAAAGTTACCTGGTTTTACTTAACCAGTGGAACAGTCAACTTTTATCCTAAGTTTACTGTTGTGGTTCACCTTAAACAGCACAGAATGTGCTGTTGTCCTTAGCAGCAAAGGAAAATGAGGTGCAAGACAACCATAAGTAGAAAAAACACATATTAAAAATTACATCTTGATGTAACACAGGTCTGCTCTTCCCAACTGCTTGAAAACTCACAAATATTGAAGAACTAATGAGGGTGGTTGGAAAGCTCCAGACATGCAGAAATGTATGTTTGCTAAAGTAAGGAGAATTCTGACAGTTTGTCTGCTGATCAGATGTAAGAGTATCTGATAACACTACAGACAGCAATCTGATGAAACTGATCTGAATATAAATTTTGTTTGTAGTTTGTTTGTTAAATATCCAAACACAATAACCTTTAAAGGAGATAGAAGTTCTCAAAGAATGGGTAGAACCAAAGATAAAATATGCATGTAGGTTTAAAAGCAAGATTCTGTATCGATTGTGGTTGCTAGAAGCTCAGGGATTAGAAAGGAAGAACAATGCCACTACTGTTAATGTGTTAGCTATTTTAATCTGTTGTGTCAGTACCATAGTTACAAGAAGTACTACAGTCAGTATCAAAGCAGTGCAGCTTCAAAACTAAGTGCAATTTGCATATGGATGTTAGCTTCAATTGATTTCTATTTAGGCAGGTATCAAGAAGTCAAGTCTCTTATGCTAACTGATCATATATTTAAGAGTCATTAAAACATTTCATTAGGATCCTAAAGATTCATCAGTATGAAATCTGAATTGGGTGGGCTTCAGTCTAAAATAGTAAGTACACATAAAGCCATTATAAATATTCACAAGAAAGTTACAGAAATGTTAATTTTCCCCCACCCCAAGTTATGAATTTAACACGAAAAAGCATTATAGGATTTGTTCTCCTTAACACTCCATTCTGGCTTACTTTCTGGTCCCTACTGTTGTTTCCAAGTCCTGTGTTTTATAACAATCTCTTCATATACATCACTGTATAGCACACCCAGAAGTTACACAGATTAAATCCACTTGCTCACCACACCAAAAGTGCTCATCACACCAAAACTCAGAAGTTATTTTTTTTTCTCCAGTTATTCAATAATTAACCCAACTGTACAATTATGAACCTTTTGAACCTGTCATGCAGAAGATAAACAAACCTAGTTCAACCATTTATCTGCATGGACTGTACCCAAGCTCTTACGAAACACATCAGTGGAGCTCCAGGCAAGCCAAACAGCCTCCTCATGTGGATGTAGCTGCAAGACCAAGGCTTTGAACATTTAACATGTTCTACTGCATCTTCCAGTAACCTAATTGAACTCTCTTTAGTCAAAGAATATAAAGGTTAATGAATGAGACTAATATCCACTATTCATTCACCTTCTGTCAATAGCATCTGTTGCTGTGCCTTTAAAAAGTAAGCTTTCTATAGACTGTATACTACTACTCATAACACAACTAAAGGAACTGATTATTACCAGACTCTTAATCATGCATCATGTCACCAAAATATTTTGCAAAGCATAAGACAGTAAGTTTCACTCAAAAACAAAGGCACGCACTTCTAGGTATAATAGTACAAAAGGGTGACATAGTTTGAATGGATGCTATGCTTCAATAGTTTAGAAACAATCTAGAGTCTTGGAAAGTTTTTATCAGCTGGTAAACACAAGTAAGCAAGAATTGGTTCCCAAGTACAAAATATAATTACAGAACTACCTGCATGGCTGTGAAACAAAAGGCTTCTTTAAGTGTTTAAATGATAATTTTTATCAATCACTGGAGCTTTTTTGCACATTTTAAAATTCAGGTTAAATATTTATGATGGCTTTATTAAGAAACTGGGCTGAGAAGAGTCTATTTACAGGATAGGAAAATAAGGTGTAAAAAAAGAAGATAAGATGTTAACTCACCTGCCAGCTGATACGGGATGAAAGGTTTTCAACTATGATCCTGTGTTCAGTACGAACAGGAGGTCCATACCGGCTGCAAGAGTTCAGAGGGAAACAAAAAAGGAAAAAGTCTCCAGTGTAACAAATTCAGAATTTAGGAAGTCTGAGGTCTTCTATAGTTTGTTAAGAGATTTAATTATTTTCCTTGTTGCTGGACTGCAGACCTGATTCTACCTAGTAAAGAATGTAATTACAGTCCACTACAAGAAGAGAGATGCTCCGAAGTGATTGAAAAGGATTTTAATGAAGAACTTATACCAACGTAGTCAATATAGCTGCCATTTTTTCTAGATACGCTAAAGTAAGTGTCTAGTAGAATGTAAACAATGTAGAGAGAATTAGCCTAATTTCACCCATTTTTTAATTTTTTTTTTTTTTTTTTAGTTGGTAGGATTAATTCTGCTTCACATCAGGGAGATGGGAGGCACAATTTAAACACATCTTAGTTCATGCTTCTAAATTCTTGTTAATATCTATAAATGCTACCATGACCTCTATTAGGTATTTCTGTGGATAGAAATACTGTTATTTTAGTAAAATGAGAGCTGGTTGCCCTGAAACAACAGTAGCAGTTTTTAGTTCCTGAATTAAAGCCCATGTTTTTCACTTAACCAAAAATTAAAGACGCTCTCAAAAATAAAAATGTGTCTTGAAAACTTTCATACAGAACAGTAAGGCACCTGGAAAAAATACTGCCCTTGCAAGTCAGTTCTGTTCCCAATCCTGATCATTCTGAATCCAAAGGAACCTGAGAACTATGGGAAAACGTATGCCAGCCTTTTGATAAGTAATGCGGGATTCTAACAATGGCACTACTTTGTATTACTACCAAAAAATTCAAGAATCAAGAACACTGACCTGAGAGAAAATTATTCTCACCTTCTCCTCCCATACAAACATAATCCTGAATTGTGCGTATTGATTTGTACACTGAAGCACAGGCAATTTCACTTCAGGGCATACCTCAAAGTGTCCCCATTTTTTTCAGAACATCCAGATCTTCCAGGCATTTAAACAGAGGTCCCAGAGTCCCAAAACTGGCAGGCTGAGTCTCATTTTTTCCATTATTGCAAACCGCAGTCTTCCTGTCTGGCATCGGCAGTCTGACGTCATGAACATGACTACAACGTCAGATGCCCAGAACCTCCAATCACACTTCCTACTTTAAAAGTCCACTTTTAGCCTGGACCTCGGACCAATTATACCGCATCAAGGTTACTGCCACCAAAGAAAAAACAATCTAATTAGCATACTTGCATATGCAAATTAGAGGCTCCAGACACTGGTTTGTAACTGGCAGCAATTCTCACTTTGAAACAAACACAGAGGTTTATGTCAGTTAAGTCTCTGTCTTCCTTCCAAGCTCTACTCTGCATAGGCCACAGACAGAAATGTTTCTACAGAGTAAATTGTTCCATACATATTTACTTCACACAGATAGATATAAAGCACAAAGATGTACCGTGTAGTTGTTTGGTGGAATATATATGCAAATCTGCAGAACTTTCACCAACTCTGCTGCAAGCTAGTGCGAAGTTCACCACTGGCTCAAATCACTGAATGTGAATAATTTGACAACTATTCTATGTCCACTACAGGTATTCTAGATACGAGCTACGTCCTGATTTTCAGATTCTGTTGTTGGGCAGAGACTTTCCTTCCACAAGGCACCTGCTTGGTCAGAAAAGTTAGTCATCTGGCATTCAAACACTTCTGTGCATGCTGGTACCTTGTGCCTTAGCACTGGTTTCTCAATTACAGTTCCTTTTGTATGCTGTGCTGAAGTAAGCATTTTGATAACCATACAGGTGGAAATATGAAAGTTTGGTTAGGCAGAAAATACCCTGAACTACTGGCTCTACAATTACTCTACCTAGCCTGTAAGCTCAGTTTAATGACAAAAGCATCAAAAGAGAGGCTCTGGCATTTTTCTTGATTCCATGTTAAGGACAGCCAAACCAACTGCAGCATTACTGCTTCACATCATCTACACAACAGCAGGAAGCAAGACCATTGTATTGCCTACAACACAGACAGGGAGCACTTTATACTGAGTTTGTGAATCTCTCTGACAGTTAAATTGCTTTAAAATCCAGATTCTACTCAGCCAGAGGACGTAAATAATAGTAGTGGACCTCCAATGTCTGAGAACATGAAACTCCTCTTGCAAAGCCATACAAGGAAATAGAGCTGGATCCCTAACTCCAACCACAGGAAGAAAACAGTATTTCAGTACAGGTCTTAAGTTACTGTGTTAGTAGGTAACAGAGTCCAGACCACCTACCTAGATCCACTCTGTGACTGGTAATAACTGAACCGTTGTGGAAATCTGCCCCTCCCTCTTCGGGCTCGCGCATGCTCAATTGTAACCCTTAGGAGAGGAATAAAACAAGCAAACAAAAACTGTAACACAAACTTTAGGGATTGGACACTGACTTAAATCTTTCACAGGCACACTATGCACAAACAAGAATTATCTTGCCCTTGCAAGCAATGATTTATAACACAGTCACCGATGTTTCTCAAAGAGCCAGAACAGTGGTATTGTCTTGTCTTACTCATCTCCCTCTGATTTCCATCAAAATTGTCACAGGTCTGTAATTCAGACTGAAAACTGAATTTGCTCAACTGGAGTTGAAGGGTAATCACAGAGGGAAACCAAAAGAAGTACCAAAAGAAGTAATAACAACCTAATGACCTAAACCCATCTTCCACAATCAAAATTACTGTAACATACATTGACTATAATCCACATTGTTGCAAACTGAAGGGCAACATTTTGAATGAGAGGCTATCAACTTATCTTCCAATATCAACAGGCAGATAAACCAATTCATTTTTACTTATATTTATAGTGACAAGACCTTGAGTTAGCTTTGAAGGAGAGATAAGTGCAAGTGGAGAAAACAGTCAGCCGTAGTCCAAACCATCTCTCCTCCAATCCCAAACCATCTCTCCTCCAATCCCAAACTATCTTTGCCTTATGTAAGACTATATACAGCCAAGATCCCAATGAATCTCTTTAGATGAAGTTATGGAAGGTGTATTCCACCACAGAGCCACAAGAAATGGGTGTCAGAGCACAAGCTAATGCACTGTATTTGTATGCAAAGCACTTTTGCTGTTCTAAAGGGAAATTATGGTATTGCACTTACCTTTCATCACACAGCTCTTTGCCATTAAGTTCATAAATTGCATCATCAGCATCCCTGTGGTCTTCGAATTCCTAGAAAGAATAAGGAATAAACCCATATTTTTCCTGCATAGTATATGCAAATGCTACAAAAAAGGTTTTCTTTTTAAATTTTACATTGCTAAAGCAACTATCAGCCAGAACTTTGAACAAAGAAGCAGATTCCTAGTACATTTATCACTGAAAACCAAGATGCTCCCATTCATGACCATTTCTTCTCCCTCCACCCCACAAAGTCCTTTGCCTCCCTCAGTTGTTTCAGTATAGCTACTTGCAGGACCTATACAAAATAAATTAACTGAATGACCCGGCTTATTACAGAAATACCCAAAATACTTTTTGGGAGAGAGGTGTGTGTGGGATCACCTCAAGGCATACAGTTTAAAACAAAGCCCTACATACAAGGGAAATCAATGATCAGCCATGAACTGATCAACTCAAAAAAAAGCAGTGCACTCCCAAAATCCTCTGAAGAGTTCTGAGGCTGATTCAATTCTTACTGAATTGACAGAGTAAATCAGAAAAGAAAAATCAAACCCCAAAACAACCAAACACACCCTTCTGATTTTTCTCTGAGCTAATTAAGCTCACTAGTCTGTGCAAGAAGAGTAAGAAACATAAACCCCTCTTCAGCACTTACCACCTATGGGTCTGGATCAGTTAGAATATGCAATTCCATATACTGTTGCAATGGAATCCGTCACTTCACTTTTGGCAGCAAAGCTACTTCAGACAGCATGAGTAGCCTCTGCCCACTATCCAGCCCACTGGTTCTTGGCAAAGCTGTTTGTACAGCTCTGCAGGAAACTAGGTCAAGAAACCTATCCAGATGAAAAAACAGCACACTTTGTGCAGTAGGTGGGGGGGGAAAGACTGTTATTTTTCTACTAGATCAGCTTCCCAGGTAGATTTGTTATGTGGCTGAACAACAGGGGAATTCCATGTGAGGCAAGGGAAGAAAGGAAAGAAAAGGCAGTGAGAACAAGCAGCTGTTTGAACCAGAAATGTGCATGGAGAAAGAAAACTATGGAAGCACAGCATAAGAGCAACAAACAACAGAGAAGCAGTTCCTCAAGTTGAAGAAAGCATTTGTGTTAACTATTAACAGCCTTTCAGAAGCAATACCGGCTTAAGCAATCTTCCCCCTTCTGCACTGGCATCTGTTTCACTACCAAGTGAAACATCACACACCCTGCATGATGATGCAAAGATTATATTGAGAAAATAAATGTAGGCCCAGCATTTAAGAGTATCAATAGCTAGCACCTACAACTCCCATTTTTTCAGCTATTTTCTAACAAACCGAGTGTCTGCAAATCTATCTTGCTTCACATACTAGTTTTATGGTCTGAAGTTTGAAAACATTCTGTGCTGAAATCTACAAAATCTGAGTAAATGTAATTAGTTTCAAAGATCAAGCAATTATTTCAATTAAGCACAATGAAACATGCTTTAAACACTACCAAAATGTTAAGATCAAAATCCCTGGTTTTTTAAGAGGTTTTATAAATACACATTTTAAATAACCAAACCCAAAGATGAACTGACAGCCCATGACAAGTGAGGTGCTGCAAAGGATAATGCTATTCAATGTATTTATAAATGATCTAGATGATGAGATTGAGTGCACCCTCACCAATTTGTGGCCGACGCTACAGTGGGAGGAGAAATAGACAAAACAGAAGGAAAAAACACTACACAGAGACACCCTGATAGGCTGAAAGATTAGGCCAACAAGAACTGCAAGTTTTAACAAAACATGACGACAGTGAAGTCCTGCACCTGGAAGAGAATAATCAGGCCTGGATCTGAGTGGCTGGAGTGCAGCTCTGCTGTCAAGGACATGAAGAGACAGACCCTCCTTGTGGATAGTCAGCTCAGCACGAGTCAGCAATGTGGCTTTGCTGCAACTAAAGCATACCATATTCTGCCTGGGCTGCACCACCTAGCAGACTAAGGGATGTGATTATTCCACCTCGGCAACTTTTATGCCACACCTGGAACAGTGTCCAGTTCTGGTCCCTCCAGCTCAAGAAATATTGGAGCAAGACCAGCAGAGGGCTACCATAACTGATCACAAGGTTTGAGAAGGAGGAAAGGCTGGTTGAGAGAGCTGTGTTTGCTCAGCTTGAAGAAAAAGCAGCCCAAAGGGGATCCAGTCAGTCTTCCAAAACCTAGAACACAGTCAGAGGTTGATAGAAGGGCTTTACGCAGCTGGATGCACAGTGACAGTATGACATGTAAAGGTCAGGAAGGTTTTGATCACATGTAAGGAAAAGACTCTTCATCATGAGAACAATTAAAATTTTTAGACAGAGTTATGAGACAATTATTCAAGCTTATTAGTGAGCGCTGAACAGAAAATACTTCTGCCTAGGAACTGGAAGAAGAGAGGAAGGAGAGTTGACTGACTCATGTACAGGAGTTGAACACAAGTAGCTCCTGAGTGAATCAACAGTCTTGCCCAAGAAGAAAAGAGGAATGCTCAAGAAAAAGTGATTAAGAAATAGCAGCAATTGGAAATGACACTCTAAATAAACTCAGGCTCACGTCCAGATTAGCCTTTTATCTCTGGACTTCACGAGGCAGGTATTTACCTATTGGCAGTCAACAAGTAGCAGCTGATACTGCAAGGCAATCAGGAACCAGCACATGTAAGAGTCAAGAAGCAATACCTGCATGACACTGAAGTAGGCAAAGCCTGTTGTTTCATTCTTTCCCCACAGCTTCACCCAAGGGATTGATCATGGCAGAACAAACAGCA